GAGCTGTCGAGCCCACCTGGAGGCATCAGGACAGAGACTCAAACTGCCGAGTTGAAGGAGTGATTATCAGGACCCTGTCCCTGTGACTGCAAGGGATCATGTTCGGGTCCCAGCTGGGACAGTGCTGTTGTACCCCTGAGGTACATCACTCTTAAGATCCTGGTTTTAAGAGGGTCATTACAACAGCGTGTCTCTCAGAGCAGGGCAGGCCAGTCCTGGTCCTGTAGAGACTGGTCACTGTGTCTGCAGGCCTGTCCAGTACTGGTCCTGTAGAGACCGATCACTGTGTCTGCAGGCCTGTCCAGCCCTGGAGGGCTGGTCAATGTCCTGGAGAGGGAGAACAACAGAGAGTAACAGAGACACGGCGGGAGAGAGAGACAGAGTTGGAAAATCGTACAGGAGTAAAAAGTTTTTCCAACTTTTCCACGGCGAAAGAGAAGACAATGTAGCTACACTGCCACCTTGTGGCACAATCTAGGAACTGTACATTTAACATTTTGCCTTTTATAGAGATACTGTTGAAGTACAAAGGATATAAATATAGATACAGTTACAGAAATTGATACCGTTATAGATATGGTGATTAACGTGATGTACGTTAATGTCTAATAACATGTTTTTATTGTAAATGTTCTGTTAATTGCTTTGGCAACAGTTTAATTCATTGGTCATGCCAATAAAGCTTTTTGTACTTTGAATGAGACGTAGGTAAGATACAGGTATAGGTATAGACATAAAGAGCTAGATATAATAAACATAATCACAGTAGAAGAAAAACATAATTTACATAACATAAAGCATAGATACAGAATTATCCAACTTGCTAATACTTTCCTCTTTCCCTGCCTTTTCCGTGATAAGGGCTCCTTGACAGGAACTCTGCTCAGGGGAACCTGTTGACCCGGGGGGACAGCTTTCCGCGCTGCACTGCTTGGTGTGGAGCAGCAGTCCTCCTCTGCCCCTCCGGAAACACAGACCAGGGCTGGATGAGACCGGGGTGCTGAAGCAGCAGGGTACATTTCCAGGCATGAATCCCTACAGCGCCCATCGGAGCGTTTTGAAGGCGGCGCTCTGTTTTTTCTAAATCGGGGAGGGGAGGGCGGTATGACAAGACGGGCAGGAGCACCCTCAAACCTTCATTCCTCATGTATGCCCCCCAGCCCTTCATAATCGGAAGCAAAGGAACCGTGTTGCTCACTAGGTCCACAGTCCTTGTTTCCCACACGGACAGGATTTCGAGTGGAGCTCAAGATGGCTGCGCACGGTGTTGTAAGCAGGGAGGTCAGTCGCCTTTAATTGTCCCGGCTCCGGGTAATAATACGGTATATACTTTCGTTAATAAAAACAGTATACACTGTTCAGCTAGTCAGGCCGTGACACAGCCCACGGTTTGGGTGGGTCTTCTTCTTCTTCACCTCCTCGCCCCCCCGAGCTCGCCATGCGCCTGTCCCTGCGGACTCTGATCTCCCACGGCCGCTATGGGCGGCGCATGGGGCTCGGACCCGAGTCCCGCATCAACATGCTGAGGAACATCCTGACCGGCCTGGTCCGACACGAGCGCATCGAGACCACCTGGGCGAGGGCCGACGAGGTGCGGATATACGCCGAGAAGGTAGGGTCGCCGCTAGCAGCGCCGCTCCTGCCGTCGCCGTTGCGGGCTGACCGCCTCAAGAGCCTCAGACACGTTGCCAACAAGCGCAGCGTCCCCGCGGGTTCAAGAGCGCGACCCCCGCCCCCTTTCTGCGACAGAGGCGCTAACACGGCTCCCCTCAGGTCCCACGGGTGTCCTGAGGCCGCTGTCGCTCTTACTGGCTGCTGTCTGACACGGCGTTCGGGAGCTGTGGGCTCCTGATGAAACTCGGGACACAGTCTCAAGCCCCCCCCCCTCTCTCTCTCTCTCTCGTTCCTCTAGCTGATTGACTTCGCCAAGAGAGGAGACACTGATGAGAAGGCAATGAAAATGGCCGACTTCTGGCTAACGGTACGTGCGTCTCTCTCAGTGCAG